ACCAATGAAACCTCTTTTCTTTATAAAGTACACAGTCTCAGTTGTTTCTTTATAGCAAGGCAAGAACAGACTAATACAGTGCTCTTTATTTTTTAAGCTTGTGTGTTTAGTATTTGTTCTTTTGTTCATCTGTAATGAAGTAAGGAATCCAATTTCATTTGTTTTCCAAATGGATAACTGGTTATCCCAGCTCCATTTATTGTATAGTCTTTCATTTCCTCACTGATCCAAAATGCATCTCTATCATATAACAAGTTTTATTATATGTGCAGATCTTTTCTGGACTCTTTGATCTATCCATTGGTCAGGTTGTCTATGTACTCATTAGTACCTTCAGCTTTTTTAGGAGTGTCTTGGCTATTTCAGGGTCTTAGCTTTTCCATATAAATTTTAGAGTTATTTTGTCAATTTTCATCAAAATAAATCTTCTAGGGATTCTAATTGGCGTTGTATTGGAACTGTAGATCAATTTGGAGAAGATTTGTAATCTTAAAATATGTAGACTTTTTATCCATGAATATTTTCCTTTCATTATTTTGGCTTTCTTTGATGTTTTTCAATAAAGATTTATAATTTTATTCATGAAGGTCTTGCACCTCTTTCAGATTTATTTCTAAGTTTTTAAGGGTTTTTGGTTAACATTTTAAATAAAAATATTAATAACATTTTCCAAAATACACAAAAATAGAATAGTAAAATTAACTCCTATATATCCATCACAGACCTTCAACTGTTATCAGTGGAAGGCAATGTTGTTTCATCTATACCCTTCTCAACTCTTTCCCCTCCCCTTATTCCCCAAATTGTGTTGTTTAAACAAATTGTAGCCATCAAATCATTTCATTATCTCAGCTGTCAAATAACATTCTGTAAATACTTAAAAATATGTCTCTAAAAGACATGACTAAAATTTTTCACACCTTAAAATTTTTCATATGTTTTCACACGTTAAAATTTTTTAGATAGATGGATAGATAAGATAGGAAGGAATTGATTATGGGAATTGGCACTTGTGATTATGGAGACAGAGAAGTCCCACAATGTGCTGTCTGCAATCTGGAGAACCAGAGAAGCTAGTGGTATAGTTTAGTCAAAGTCCAAGGGCCTGAGAACCAGGGAGGTGATGGTGTTTACTCTCAGACTGAGGCTGAACGACTGAGAACCTAGAGTTCTGATGTCCAAGGCCAGGAGAAGATGGGTGTCTCAGCTCCAGAAGAGATAATAAATTTGCCTTTCTTCTGATTTTTTTGTTCTATGTCCTCAACAGTTTGGATGATGCCCATTCACATTGGTTGAGGGCAGATCTTCCTTACTCAGCCCACTGATTGAAATGTCAATCTCTTCCAGAAACACCCCCAGAGATACACCCAGAAATAATGCTTTACCAACCTTCTGGGCATTCCTTAACCCAGTCAAGTCGACACCTAAAATTAACTATCACGTATCTTTATGGTGTTTTTTTTTTTTTTTGAGACGGAGTCTTACTCTGTCGCCCAGGCTGGAGTGCAGTGGTACAACCTCGGCTCATTGCAACCTCCGCCTCCCGGGTTCAAGTGATTCTCCTACCTCGGCCTCCTGAGTAACTGGAATTATAGGCACCCACCACCACACCCGGCTAATTTTTGTATTTTTAGTAGAGATGGGGTTTCACCATGTTGGTGAGGCTGGTCTCAAACTCCTGACCTCATAATCCGCCTGCCTTGGCCTCCCAAAGTGCTGGGATTACAGATGTGAGCCACCGTGCCCAGCCCTCATGGTGTCTTTTAACATACATACATACATATATATATATATATATATATTCATTCCTCTCCCTCCTAAATTTCTTATAAACCAGAAGTTAAATCTAGAGGATAAATGGTATTCCGATTTTGGTTTGGTTTGGTTGGGGACTAGAACACTTCGTGGGTGGTGGGGGTATATCCTATCCTGTATGTCTGATTTTATGCACTTTCTGTGCCATTGAAATTGATCATTGGGTTTAGGTGTTTGGGTCCCTGATTCATCCATTAAGTTCCCCATCAACTTTTCTCCTGATAGTTTTATTGAGCATCTGATGATGATCAATTCCTTTATTCATTATCTCATTAGGGCATGCAAAATAATGATATTCTAACATTTTCATCCTGGTCCATTTATTAGCTGGAATTTTTTAATACAGAGTACTTTCATTGTCATCCCTTTCGTTACCCTGAAACGTAATTTACGTGGGAAAGGCGGGGTAAATGCTTGCTACATTTTTTTTTAAGCCTGTTTGCAGAATAATGATTTAGTTCTCTAATTTCCTCCAGAAGTGAATAGTGAAGGATGTTTTTTTTTTTCTGAGTATTATTATAAACTTAGGAATTTTAATATTTGTACTTAAGTTTTAGAATTAGCTTCTCCATTTTCACAAATAATAAAAGCCTGCAAGCTTTTTCATTGAGATTGCATTTGAATTTGTAGTTCAGTCTGGGGAGAACTGTTATCTAAATAATATTTAGCTTTCCAATCCATGAACTTATCATCTCACCTATTGAAGTTTTCTTTAATTTCTTTCAGTAATTTTTAGTTGCTTTGTGTTTATTGGCCTTGTGTCTTGCAAACTTGCTAAACACATGTAGTATTTCTGTTAAGGCTTTTTCTTAGATTCTTTTGAATTTTCTATGTGGATAAACATATTATCTGCAAGTAAAAACAGTTTTATTGCTTCTTTTCCAATATTTATATCTTTTATTTCTTTATTTTGTCCTATGGAACTGAATGGCACCTCCAATACAATGTTGAATAGGAGTGATGAGAATGGGCAATCTTTTCTTTTCCCCCCCTTTTCTAAAAGAAAGCTTTCAGTTTCCTGCCCCTTCCCTGCAGTATCTGGCCCCTGCTGTGTATCAGTGCAGGATCTTTGCCCAACCAGGTTTCCTGTTCCTCCCCTAGGGAAAGATGCTTCTTCCTTCTCTTCCCTCTGGCATTGCACCTTTTCCTGAAATCAGAGGGTTTACTGGACCTCTTCCAGGGGGAGACTGTTGTTGCTAGTTACTGTAGGTGCAGAGCTTGTTGGGAGAGCAGGGGTGATTAGGGACAGATAGCTTTTGCTTCTATCCCTCTCTGAGAGGAGGTTATTTTTGCCTCCCGGGACTTTGCTAGGCAGGAGGGTGTCCTGCCCCATTCCCAGGGACTTAGGTGTTGCTTCCTATGCAAGAAAGCCCAGGGAAGTAGGTAGGTAGGGTTTTATTGCCTGTGTTCCAGCAAAGGGATCTTTCTCAGGTCTTCTGCCTCGCTGCAGCCTTTCATGAGCACTCCACAGAAAGGAACTCGTGAGTGGGTGTGGACACTTCTTGTGCCTGGGCTTCAGAAGAACTCTGAACTTGTGTGGCAGTCCACATTTGGCCTTTAAGAAGTCCTTAAAATTTTAGCTGATTCTTCTATTACACTATTTGCATCCTAATCTTTAAAGTATAACCACCTAATTGTACCTTCCTAAACAATATAATGTAGTTGTGCTGGGTTTTGAACCTTATATAAATGGAATCGTGCCATATGTATATTGTTTTATGTCTGGTTTCTTTTGCTGAGTATTTGTTTTTAATACTCAGCCATGATTTTGTGGTTAGTGATTTTCTGTTCATTTTCATTGTTTTATAGTGTTTCATTATATGAGTATACCACAGTTTGTCTACATATTATCTGTATGGTTTCCAGATTTTAGCTGCTACAAATAGCTAGTATAAGTATCTTGAGTGCCCTCCCCCTGCCAGCAGCACTGGCATCTCCTGGGAGCTGATCAGACATTCATATTCGTGGGCACTACCTTAGACTTACTGAGCTGGAAACTGTAAGGGTAGGGCCTGCAATTTGTGTGTATGTGTGTTTTTTTTTTTTTTTTTTTTGAGGTGGAGTCTCACTTTGTTGTCCAGGCTGGAGTGCACTAGCGCGATCTCAGCTCACTGCAACCTCTACCTCCCAGGTTCACGCCATTCTTCTGCCTCAGCTTCCCAAGTAGCTGGGACTACAGGCGCCTGCCACCGCACCTGGCTAAAATTTTGTATTTTTAGTGGAGATGGGGTTTCACCATGGTCTCGATCTCCTGACCTCGTGATCCGCCCGCCTCAGCCTCCCAAAGTGCTGGGATTACAGGCGTGAGCCACTGTGCCTAGCCTTTTTTTTTTTTTTAAATGGAGTCTCACTCTGTCACCCAGGCTGGAGTGCAGTGGCGTAATCTTGGCTCACTGCAACCTCTGCCTCCTGGGTTCAAGCAGTTCTCTGCCTCAGCTTCCCAAATAGCTGGGATTATAGGTGCCCACCACCAGGCCTGGCTAATTTTTGTATTTTTAGTAGAGACAGGGTTTCACCATCTTGGCCAGGCTGGTCTTGAACTCGTGACCTCGTGATCAACTCACCTACCTCCCAAAGTGATGGAATTACAGGCATGAGCCACCGTACCCAGCTGCAATTTGTGTTTTAACAATCCCTCAGAGTGATTACTGTACATGCTAAAGTTTGAGAACCACTTCTATAGCAGGTATACTTAGGAGAGGAACTGTTGGGCATAGGGATGGGTAGATAATGGCAAACTGTTTCCTAAGTGATTGTACCAATTTACACCTTTACCAATGATACAGGAAACATCTTGGGCATCTTCAGAGTTTTTAATAGTAATTCTTCTCCCTCTGCATCCTTTTTGGTTTTAATGCGTAACTTTATCTGTAAAATTAAAAATTAGGTCATTGGTCAATGAAATCTGAAAGTCTAGAAGTGACTAGTCTAAAGGAAATGTCTTTGAATGCAGTGAGTATGTCATCATCTTTGCTCTCATTTAAATGCCTAGCACAGTGTTAAGCACATAGAAAATTATGTACATATCTGGCAAACTGAATTTGAAAATACCAATTTTTTTTCTGTTTTAAGCAGTTCCTCCATCTTATTTTTTAAAAATCTTAAGACCTAGAGTTTATTAAAATAATCTAGCAGTGCTTTTTGAAAAATCACCATATACCTTTTTTTTTTTTTTTTTTTTTTAGCTTTTATCTCTTCTTTTTGAAGACTTGTTCAAAAAATTTAATTCTGAAATGAAAAAGATTGCCGACCAGGTGATTCCTAAGCAAAGAGCAGCCCAGTTTGATGTTGTCAAACACATGCGCCAAGACCAGATCACCAATGGCATGGTGAATGCTATTTCTACCGTAAGTCTTCAGTCACTCTTTTAGGGTCTTGTAATTTAGTTGTAAATCTATTTGGTAGAAGAAAAACTTAAAGCACTTTGAGAATCCAGGTGAAATATAGAAAGGAATGTTTACAAAGCACAAATTTCTACTTTGAAAGGAAGTCTGAAGTGTTTATTACTCTAACTTTCCTGCCAAATTATAGTTCCTGTTATATGAGGCAATAAGAAAATAGATACTCTTACACAGAGGAAAAATCTTCATTTAACTGTTAATAACCATGCTTTTAAAGAATACTTTCCCCCATTTTCTTCTGTAGTAAAATTGACACATTTCAGACAGGTTTATTAATTATCAACCTTTTGTTCAAAATAATACAAAATGTTTCATTTCACAGCAGGTTTATATTCTTCGAAGACCTGTCAGCTGTTCCTCACATAAGCAATGAGTTCTGTGCTGGATGAATTCAGTTCTCGGCAGCAGCTGTGTAGTCAGGGTCTCGGGCTATTCAGAAAAGGTTATCAGATGGGTTTTGCTTCCTTTCTTAAAGCGTAACAACTATAGGTCTATCTGATGAAGTCTGGTTCATGTTTTGCATGCCAGACATAAAATTAGTTTTATGGATGACATTTTGCCCCAACAAAGCATAGTATAATCTACCATGTTGATTCCCTTAATGATGAAAGAGTGCAGACTTGCTTCAATACTTGACTTTAGAACTTTATAGTGGGTCTGTGTGAGTGGCCCATACAGTGACAGCTACATCTAAATTTGAGGTGAACCAGGCCTTTGTCCCTATTTAGGCACATAAACTCTAGTGGCCCAAACTTGTCTGAGGTGGATCCCTGAGTATTTGAAGAGAATCCTCCAAAGAGTGCTTGAACACGCTTCTGTTGGAATTACTTTTCCTTGCTTGCTCGCCCATGATTTTCAGGTCAAAAGAGCTATTTTGAGTACTTCTTTTACCCCTAAAGGAAACTGCTTTACCTCCCTGATAGAACTGCTTATTACAAAAATCAGTAGCAGGCCTAGTTACAGGTGTGCCCCACTCTAGACAACAGAAAAAGATCAACCTTTAAAATTCTTAGTGTTGCTATTAGCAGAATGCTTTTACCAAATACATTTTTCTCAAAGGAGCATTTTTAGCCCTCTTGTCTGTTTCTCGTCTCTCCCTTTTGTAATACTCCTACAGAATACAAGAACAAATTCTCTTGCTGAACATCTTGGCTTCACTCCCATCTACTTGCTACTTGCCAACAGCTGCTGCCTTATTTTAGCTGTGTGCTGAATACTTATTTACCTTATTTACTCTTACTCTGTGGGCATAAGTCAGTTTACTAGATTCATTCTGCCTCCAAGGATAAAAGGAGTTAATGAAATAAGTGATAATATGAGAGATTAATTTGTGGGATATATATAGTTGCTCTATTTCTTTGCCTTTTAATAGGGTTTCTTAGAGTTTAGCTCTTTCCCACGTTTCAGAAACTCAAGGTTCCAAAGTGATCGATCTTCACTATAATAGTGAGCAAACTGTACTTTGTGAGGGAGCTCCCCCAAAGTTACATATTTTAATGCAAACAGATCACCTAATCTTTTCCTGAAACCCTAGCAGATTTTCTGCTACAAGGGTTTTTAACCTGGGATCCACAAGAGTCCAAAAATGAATGTAAAATTTTTATTCTTGTTTCTACGTGCATTTTCCTCAAGAGAACATTCCTGGCTTTTATTGGGTCCTCTGAGGAGGAATGAAGAACCACGGCAGGTGCAGTTTTTCTCTTTAGAATTAGAAAACTTGAGTCAACAATTTTGTTCACATCTTATTGTCTGCTTTGCTTTTTCTTTTTTTTTTATTTTTGAGACAGCGTCTTACTCCCAGGCTGGAGTACAGTGGTGTGATCTCAGCTCCCTGCAGCCCCTGCCTTTTGGGCTCAAGTGATCTTCCCACGCCAGCCTCCCAAGTAGCTGGAAATACAGATGTGCACCACCACACCCAGCTAGTTTTTGTATTCTTAGTAGAGATGAGGTTTTGCCACGTTGGCAGGCTGGTCTTGAACTCCTGACCTCAAGTGATCCACCCACCTCGGCCTCCCAAAGTGCTGGAATTATGGGTGTGAGCCACCACACCCAGCCTGCTTTGATTTTTGGATGAATACTGTTTTCTACTGTTAATTCATGTTACCATGAATTTAAATTTCAAAAATTTCTAATCTTAATCTTTAAATTATTCTTGAGAATATTTTTAATGCATACAATTAATACAACTACAAAATAATACAACATATTTAATGCATAAGAAGATAAAGTAAATTTAATGTTCAAGATTTAGTTGATATGAATCTATTTTAATAATGACACAGTGGCCACAGAGAATATATGTTTCTTAATATGAATATATATACTATTTTTAGATTCCTTAAAACTTAATTAAGAAGCCTTCAGTTTGTTCATTATCCTAAGTAAATGATACCTGAGTTATTTTTCTGTTGCTACATTTTCCTGTTCTTAAGACTAACTTTGGAAAACATCCAAATAGCACATTCCAACATGAAATGATCTCTTTGAGCTTCAAACTAGTTTTCCCTTAAATGTGTATAGATATTGCTGGTGTTTTATCAGTTAGCTTATGATTTCCCATGGAAATCTGTGGTTGAACTGGCTCTTCATTATAGAATTAGTTGCTGAGAAGGTGACGGCTCTGATGTGGTAAGTTTATGCATCGAACAATTCTGAGATGGTTGCTAGACACAGTAATGTTCATTATCTTCCTAGAAAACCCCAGCAAGTGACTTGACTAAACTTTCATTTTAATTGTGACAGTTTGATTTCTGAATATGTGTCATGGTTCTAATTTTGTAAGCATGAAGATCTTGCCATGAACTTCTTGGAGTGACTGCACAGTATCAGACAACATAGGATTGGGTTAGGAATAGTCTTACGTCTTTCATCTCCCTACAGGGAAATTGGTCTCTAAAGAGATTTAAAATGGACCGCCAGGGTGTAACCCAAGTGCTGTCTCGCTTGTCATATATATCTGCACTGGGCATGATGACAAGAATCTCTTCCCAGTTTGAAAAAACAAGAAAAGTGAGTGGTCCTCGCTCCCTCCAGCCATCTCAGTGGGGAATGCTTTGTCCTTCGGACACTCCTGAAGGAGAGGTAAGGAATCTGAGGAGTCTTGATGCTGTGTCAGAGGCAATACCTATGTCTGTGCATGGGGTGGGGTGGGGGGTTCTGCTTCTGTTCCCATCTCCAGGCCATATCCTTTTTTTGTCCATCATTTATCTGGTAAAGAAATATTGACATGCTTGGGAGACTACATTCGTATGATTCCAAAACTAGGACCTGCAGAAGCATTTGATTCTGTGTGTTAGCTAAAAGTAATACAGTCCATGTTTCTCTTGCTTATTTTAGTTTATCCCAAAATCAAATCATGCACAGATGGGATAAGACTGTGAAGGCAGATTGAAAGACCTATCCCCTCTCATGCTCATGAGGGGCTCTTTTTGAGCAGCTCCTTATTGTCCTTAGTTAGGCTCAGTCACAGCCAATTAGGAGTACACAGTCCATGACCTAATGCGGATTCTAACTCACTTGTATTGAAAAGCAAGCAATTGCCTAAACACCAAGCCAGGGAGTTTACATTGTTTTGCTTCTGTAGCGCCCGCTCCTCCCTGTGTCAGGGTCCTTTCTCCCTTGGGTTAACATTGTGAGTTTCACTTGATTCTATTCCTTCTAAATTGTAAAATTCTGGAGGAAGGAAGGTTCACTGTTGTATCTCAAGCTCCTAACATAGAGCCTTGGTTAGAGTAGAGGCCCCATGAATATATGCTGAATTAATAATTATGACAGGTAAAAGATGTAGGTTCCAAAGTGTAGGAATTTATCATTATTTGGAAGGGATGAAAATAGGAGTCTCTATAGAGCTGCGATTTTTAGAAACTATTTATCTAATTTATCTGAAACCATATGGAAATTGACACTAAAATTATCCAGTTTGTCAAATTTTGTATAATTTATACAACTTTGAAACATTTCATTTCCCAGAGATTGCTTCAGCTAACCTAAAAAAAAAGTAGCTATTTTGTACGGTTACCGCAGCAGATGGTTTTAAGACTTGAAGATACAATCTTACAAGTCACCTGTCTTAAGTATTTTTTTTCTATTTACTATATTCTGTCCTTGTTGGTATTGTTGTTTTAGAACTGTACTGGGTTGCATAGATGTTTAAAATATTTATTTTCTTTTCATTTTGAAATAATTTTAGATGTACAGAAAAGTGATGAAACTGGTACAAAGATTTTCCACGATCTTTCATCTAGATTCCCAACTGTGAACATCTTATGTAACCATAGCACTGTTATCAACCTCATGACATTGAACAATACTATAATCTATGGATCTTACTCAAATTTTGCCAGTTGTCCCACTGTTGTCTTTTTTCTGTTCCAGAATCACACATTATTTTTAGTTGTCATGTCTCCTTGTCTCTTTTAATCTGAAAGAGTTTTTCAGTCTTTATTTACCTTTAATGACCAAGAAACTTAAGGGTACTGGCCAGTTATTTTATACAGGCTCTCATTTCAGGCCAGAAATTTTATATTTGTATGTAGCTGCATTTATTAATGTTTTTCTTTACTTATTTTATACAGTATCATCATAATGACTGTAATGTTTCGTTGTCTGGGAGTAATTGTTAATGTAGTCAATTTTGTTGGGCATTTATGATGCCGTCAGCATTTACAATTACAAGTAGTACTGTGCTGAGCATTTCTGTAGCTAAATCTATTTTATATCCTTGCTTGTTATGAAGATAAATTCCTCTGGATTAAGGGATATATATATATTTTAAAGACATTTGTGTGAATCACCACAGTATCCCCTACAAAGTTGTACTGCTTTGCATTGCCGCCAGCAAAGTAGTGAGCTATTTTCAGATGCAGACTGTACTTTGTATTACTAATGTTCATTCTTAGAAATGACTGTCTTTTGTTTTTTAGGCATGTGGTTTGGTTAAAAACTTGGCCCTTATGACACACATCACAACTGATATGGAAGATGGACCCATTGTTAAATTAGCCAGTAACTTGGGAGTAGAAGATGTGAATTTATTATGTGGGGAAGAGCTCTCTTACCCAAATGTGTTTCTTGTGTTTCTTAATGGTGGGTATATTATGGAGACATCTTGGCCCTAGATAGTCTGTGAAGAGGGGGAGGGAATCCATTATTATCCTGGTATGTAAAGCACAAATAGACTTTAATTCTGGGCCCAGGTTGACCTTCACTTAAAGGTAGAAAATACAGTGATAACAGAAATAGTTACTTTGTTGGCTGGGTTATCCAAGGTTCTGAGAGGATATAGCTATCAGAGCTAAAGGGTAACATTGCAGAAAGTGGCTGCTGTCTGCCCTTTTGCAGTTGCTGACATATCCATAGTGGAATAAGGTTCAACATGGTATCTTTAAGTTCAAGTTAAATATTGGAGTCATTCTGCAAAAATTATCATATCAGCTCTTATAATGAATTGACTTTGTCTAGCCGTCTGATAATCAGTATGTCAGCAGCCTGTGGTAAGAGGATCCCTCTCCTCTGGCTCACACTCCAGTTACTTCTTTCATATACCTCTTCCTACCTCCTTCAAAGTCTTCCAGAGACTCAGCAGGAAGTGTGCTCTCTTCCTTTCTGCTTTTGATTTATTGCTGTGAGTGCCTGTCCTCTCACTAGTGTGCTCCATGAGCTTATCCCTTATCACTTGTCTTTCCTCTCTTCCACTCCCCCTTCTGCTCATTCTAGGAGGCATTAACTCTTTTCTATATGGGCTGGTGAGGAAGGGGTCAGAGCCTCAGCAGGGCTGTTAACTGACTGCCTCATTCATTATATCCCAGAGGCTAACATTGAGTGAGCTTTTACTCTGCACTTTAACCAGTGCCTTTTTGAATCCTCCCGCTAATCTTGGGAAGCAAAGTTCATTTTCCCCATTTCACAGATGATGATTACAACAAGAAGCAGTTTAATAGTAGCAGTTAGTAGGTGCTAAGCAGAATTCTCAGTACTTTAAATGATCAGCTCATTTAATCTTTACTACCACCCTGTGGAAGTGATGGAGCCAGTGTTCACACCCAAGTTGTTTGGACCTGAGTTCATGCCCCAGCACTGTGCTGAAAGATGAGGAAAATGAAGCTGACTTTTCCAGTATTCCTCAGCCAGCATCTGGAAGGACTGGCCCTTAACCATTCTTCCTTTGTTGCTTCCCTGCAACCTTGTGGACTGGCTGCAGGTGTTAATAACAGTATTTTCAAATAACTGCTTAGTGCTGCTTACTATTTTTATTGGTTGGATGTATTAAATCAGGTTGGGTTTATTTTTTATTTCTGTCTTACCTATTCTTTCTTTTTGCCTAGGTAACATCTTGGGTGTCATTCGCGACCACAAAAAGCTGGTGAATACATTTCGACTCATGAGAAGAGCAGGATATATCAATGAATTTGTTTCCATCTCAACAAATCTTACAGATCGATGTGTCTATATTTCTTCTGATGGAGGAAGGCTATGCAGGTATATGTTACTAAAAAGAGTTTTTAAGAATCTCTTTATATTTATTCTTGAAAGAAATAGACTTGTTTTTATTTATGAAACTGTTTTAACCTCTTTCATTGTGAAGATAAATTTAATTCCATGAGCAAACACTTTATGAATATGCATATTAGGTACTGAGGATGCAAATTAATATGGGAGACAGAGTCTGCCCTCAGAGAGCTCAGTCTGCCGGGAAAGGCAGAAAAAATGACTAATAACAATCATCTGTGCTAGTAGTTAATGCTAGCCACTATTTGTCATTTTAATGGAGGCACTATATGTGTAAGGCTTTAACTCCATTCAACCCTATGAGGTTGGATTATTCTTGTCGTTTAACAAATGAGGAAACTGAGGTTCAGTGAGGCTAAGTAACTTACTGAAAACTAAAGAGTGGTGGAGTCTGTTTTTTATTTCAAAGTCCTTAGGATTCGTTTGATGCATGATTTTGCCCACTATAGTCTGTTGCTACAAACTGAGCTTTAAAGGATGAGTAGGATTATGTTAACTTGGAGGTAGGTGGGGAGGAGAAAGGCTGAAACAAGGCAAGAATGAAAACATGGAGACATGAAGAAATAAAATAACACTAGACCCAATGGAAAAGTAGGTTCCTTTTATTCATTCAGTAAGTATTTATTAAGGGCTTATTGTGCACAGGTACTATCTAGGAGCTGGAGGTACAAAGGTGAATGTGACATAGTGTCTGGTTTGAGGGGATATGCAGAGACATCAGCTGAGGACATTGCCTTGTTTCACAAGCCTTTTCTAGCATTACCGTAGTTATTCTGTGTATACCTCGGGTAGAGTTGAAGCACGAGGCAGTGAGCTAGCAGTAGCTGGAAGTCTGTCAGAGCTGGGAGAGTGACTGTCCAGCATCCATTCCTCCTTCATATGATACTACCTCATTTTCCTTTGAGGACTGCCCCTCCCCATTGGCAGGCTTCTTGGGATGGTCAGTCCAGTGCCCTCTTCTCTTCAGCCAGGGGTTGGGCATATGACCCAAATGAGGCCAGTCATACCCCCTCATCAGAGAATTTGAATCCCAGGTAAAATAAATCAAGGGAGGGAAGTGGTTGGACCTGATTCATTCTCCCAGTGCTGCATGCAAGAGACTGCCTGTTAACACCTCATTTTCTGGATCCTTGGAATTGCTCTAGTTCCTTTTCTTTCTGAGGCTGAGCATTTCAGCTTTTTTGTTGATTCTTATCCTTCCATTAACTTTTTTATTTTTTGTTTTTTTGAGACAGAGTCTCAGTTTGTCACCCAGGCTGGAGTGCAGTGGTACAATATTGTCTCACTGCAACCTCCACCTTCCAGGTTCAAGCAATTCTTATACCTCAGCCTCCTGAGTAGCTGGGATTACAGGTGCCTGCCACCACGCCTGGCTAATTTTTGTATTTTTAGTAGAGATGGGGTTTCACTGTGTTGGCCAGGCTGGTCTCGAACTCCTGGCCTCAAGTGATCCACCAACCAAAGTGTTGGGATTACAGGCGTGAGCCACCGCACCTGGCCTCTGGCTAATTTTTTGTGTTATTAGTAGAGATGGGGTTTCACTGTGTTGGCCAGGCTGGTCTCGAACTCCTGGCCTCAAGTGATCCACCAACGTCAGCCTCCCAAAGTGCTGGGATTACAGGTGTGATCCATTGCACCCAGCACCGGTAAATTCTTAATGCCTCCAGTAAACTTCATTTTTGCTTAAATTAGCCAGAATTGGTTTCTCTTCTTTGCAACCAAAGAATGGTTAGCTGATGATATACCTGTGTTTGAATCCTGACTTCCCACTTACTGAGTTGTGTGACTCTGAGTGTACTACTTCAGTCTCTCAGCCTTGGTTTCACTGGCTATAAAATGGAAACAATAATGCCTGCCTAAGATTGTCTTGAGAAGTAGCTGATATAAGGTGTGGTAAGTGCTCTGTAGAGTGCCAGGCACACATTAGGTGCTTATTTATAACTATTAATAGCATGGTCCAGTTAAGGGCAGGAATAACAGTGACAATTTCTAGGTTACTCTTTTTTAGGATTTCATTACATCCAACATAATATATATTCGAAAAGAAAACGAGCCGGGTGCGGTGGCTCAAGCCTGTAATCCCAGCACTTTGGGAGGCCGAGACGGGTGGATCACGAGGTCAGGAGATCGAGACCATCCTGGCTAACACGGTGAAACCCCATCTCTACTAAAAAATACAAAAAACTAGCCGGGCGAGGTGGTGGGTGCCTGTAGTCCCAGCTACTCGGGAGGCTGAGGCAGGAGAATGGCATAAACTCAGGAGGCGGAGCTTGCAGTGAGCTGAGATCCGGCCACTGCAGTCCAGCCTGGGTGGCAGAGCAACTCCCTCTCAAAAAAAAAAAAAAAAAGAAAACTCTTTTATAGAAGCAACTTTATAATGGCATGACAGATCTAGCAGGAAAAAATAGTAGAATGTGTTGCGTTAACGTAAGGATAACTGAGGCAGCTAAATGTGATCCCCTCCCTCTCCTCCGCCGGTTTCTGTCGTCTCATCTGAGGCTTAACCTGAATCCACTGCAGCGCTCAAATGAGGCATTAGCGGGCTCTGCTTCCCTACCAAGAAGGAGCCAGAATTTCGAGGTACTGTGGATTTCCATGAAAAGCTCACCCAGTTCATTTTTCAACAACTTGTGTTCCGCTTTTGTAATTGTGCAGCTCCTCTTCTTAACTGTTTAAAAGTGCTCATTAGTCCTCAAATAGTTATTTGGACTTTAGGGTAGAGCGTACAAGTGTCTGGTGGTTACTTGCTCCTCTCTGTAAGAGCTGCTTATCCAAATAGCAACAGCCCTTGACGTTTCAGTGCCGCATGCCATCCTTTGTGTCGGGGTTTCCTCATGGTGGCAAAGCCCTCCGAGGCAAGTCCCCACTGACAGTTACAGGTTAATCTGCCAGAATGCCTTCTCCACCTTCCACCCATTACGTTGCTGAAAACCACAAAGTAAGAAAGCTTTATTCTCTGCCAACTTTTAGCCACTCTCTTTGGTCACTTGTAGCTTTAAGTATCTTGCTAACCTAGCTCAGTGATGTTTAGACTAAATCAGACTACTCTAAACATCTGGATATTCATCAGAACCTCATAACGCAATGCCACTTATTACCCTAGGTGACAGTGCTTCTTTGACTGTTAACTCTGTGAGTAGTATACAAAATATTTCCAATGTGAAATCAGGGGATGTTTTTAGATTGATACGTTACACCGTTCTTAAAAATATGACATTAAAGGTTTTGTTTCCTTTTCAAACTTTGAGTATCATTTTTGTGTTGCCTTTTCGTTCAAAACCAAATGTTTCCTAAGATACTTGCAGGAAGCACTGTGTGTGTGCATGACTATGTGTACACATACTCACATGTGCACATGGGCTTGGGTATGTATGTGTGTATATGTGAGAGAGAACATAGGCCCCTACACCATGCTCTTGCATACAAAAAATACCTAGTGTACTCAGCAATCCAGGAATAGGTTTGGTCGTATTTACATCTTCCTTCATCTCACTTTGGTAAACTAATTTGCCTATGTAATTTTTCCCTGGAACTACTATTAATTTGGTTTTGCTGTTTCCGTTCTAGACCCTACATAATTGTCAAGAAACAGAAGCCAGCAGTCACAAATAAACATATGGAAGAGCTGGCCCAAGGGTACAGGTAAGTAGCCAAAAGTAAAACTTACCAATCTCCTTAATACCCACATACATGATTTAAGAAAAGTGTATTTTCATTTTAGTGTTTTAATTTCTTTCCATCAAATTACCAGCCTGTTAAAAACGTATTTTGCTCCATGTGAGCTTGCTTGGACATTGTAAAATATTCATCAATTTAGATCATGAGGCTTACGTAGTCTTGAAGTCAGTTAGTACACAAGTGTTTCTGGTAAGAAGGGGACTTACATCATGTGTCAGTGTAGACACTGTGGGTCTCATCATGAGGTTTCTAAGGTCAGAATTTTTTTTTTAAGAAGTGGGGACTAGGTTGACAAGAGTTACAGACAGACACTTTGCTGTTTTTATTTCAGCAATTTGTGGTTACTGTGTGAGCTGAGAATAACATGTTTCAGGTATCTCAATGTAATGATATCCTCTGGGAGAGAAAGGTGCTTTGGGCCTAAATGAAAGCCAGTATCTCCTGTTGTTATATAAAATACTGCAGAAAATGCTTTTTAATGATGTCTCTTTCACCAATATTTTCCCAGAAATTTTGAAGATTTCTTACATGAGAGTCTGGTTGAATATTTAGATGTAAATGAAGAAAATGATTGTAACATTGCACTGTACGAACACACAATTAATAAGTAAGTAGAATCCGTAGCAACCATAATTAAAACCTGTTCTGACTATAGAAACTAACTTCTTTTGACAGGAACTGTTAGAAATATACAATCTTTTTTTTTTTTTTTTGAACATGCAAGTTTGTTACATAGGTAAATGTGGGCCATAGTGGTTTGCTGTACCTATCAACCTATCACCTAGGTTTTAAGCCCAGCATGCATTAGCTGTTTATCTTGATGCTCTCCCTCCCCCAACCCCCTAACAGGCCCCCGCTGTGTGTTGTTCCCCTCCCTGTGTCCCTGTGTTCTCGTTGTTCAGCTTCCACCTATGAGTGAGAACATGCGGTGTTTGGTTTTCTGTTCCTGTGTTAGTTTGCTGAGGATGACTTCCAGCTTCATCCACATAACTGCAAAGGACATGATCTCGTTCCTTTTTATGGCTGCTTAGTATTTCATGGTATATAAGTATATTGTATATTTCTGTGTGTACCATATAGAAATATACAATTTTATAGCAGAGTATAACCCATCATTTATCCCAGTGAAGAGTATTACAAAGCAGCTAACAAGTCATCTTTATATTTCATTATCCTTCCTATTCATGTGACAGTTTATATATATACACACACACACGCATACATACATAGAGAGATATATCCATATACATAGATAGATAACTATATATATAGAGAGAGAGAGAGTTGGTTTTTTTGTTTTGTTTTGTTTTTTGAGACAGGGTCTTGCTGTGTCACCCAGAAGGAGTACAGTGGTACAACATAGCTCAGTGAAGCTTAAAACTCCTGATCTCAAGCGATCCTCCCACTTCAGTGTCCTGAGTAGTTGTGATTACAGGCGTGAGCCACCATGCCCAGCCTTAATGTATATTTTTTAAAAGGAGTTGTTTCTCTGATTTTAATACTTGATTACTGCCAAAATTGAACTAATGAATTAAGCTGTATAAAAATATACTTACCTCTTTTAGAGATGATTTTGTCCATGGACATCTGAATTCTTGTCAGTACAGGAGTTCTCTACATAGTCTGTTCAAAAACTATCTCTAAGTTTATGTGTAGTATACACTTGAATTGATAGTATGTTCACAATATGTCTTCTTGAACAATATTGTTAGAAGTGTCTGTGTTCCATTTGGAGTACATTAAAGAACATCTATATAACCTGCTGTCTGATGCATGTGACTGATGTGCCATTTACCTGAAATTGGAATTCTTGCAGATATATTGCTAGAGAGTTTAATACTACCACCTGATAACTATTTATGTCTTCAATCAAGAATAAGTACTTTTCTGACCCAGTGTAGCAGCTCACCCCTGTAATCCCAGTGCTTTGGGAGGCTGAGGCAGGAGAATCGCCTAAGGCCAAGAGTTTGAGACCAGCCTGGACAACATAGCAAGACCCTATGTCTAAATAAAAATAAAACATTAACCAGACGCAGTGGCATACACCTGTAGTCCTAGCTACTCGGGAGGCTGAGTGGAAGGATCACTTGAGCCCAGGAGTTATGGGTTACAGTGAGCTATGATCGTGCCACTGCACTCCAGCCTGGCTGAGAACTTATGTCTTAAAACAGGAAAAAGAAAAACTTTTCTGTTTTCTGCTACCAAATGAAATATATTACTTTTTAAAAGATTACAATTTACCAGTCTGGGTAACATGGCAAGACCCCGTCTCTACAAAACACTTAAAAATTAGCCAGATGTGGTGGTGCAGGCCTGTAGTCCCAGTAACTCAGGGGGCTGAGGCTGGAGGATTGCATGAGTCCAGGAGGTGGAGGCTCTGTGAGCCATGTTCATGCCACTGCACTCCAGCCTGGGTGACAGAGCAAGACCCTGTTGCCAATATATATATTGCAAATATATATATTTTTTGCACTTTGTAAATAGTGCTTTTTAGTCAGAATTTTTCTTCCTTAAAGATGTGAATCTCTCAAAGTACTGTTTTGTACCCCTCATTTCAAAATTGACTGAGGGCCAGGTGTGGTGGGTCACACCTATAATCCCAGCACTTTGGGAGGCTAAGGCAGGAGGATTGCTTGAGCTCAGGAGTTGGAGATCAGCCTGGCCAACACAGTGAGACCTCATCTCTACTAAAAATAAAAAAAAGTTAGCTGAGTGTTGTGGTGTGCACCTATGATCCCAGCTCTTGGGAGGCTGAGGTGGAAGGATCACTTGAGTCCACTTTGAGGCTTCAGTGAGCTATACTTGGAACACCACCGCATTGCAGCTTGGACAACAGAGTGGGACCCTGACTCAAAAAATATGTAGATACAGATACCTATCCTGAGTATAAAATAGAACTATTTTATAGTAGCCCCATAAATGACAGTTCCATCCTTGTATTACTCAAGCCAACAAAACCCTCTATTTCCATCCTGACCCTTTTTCTCTATATCGACATCAATCCCTAGCTCATCATATGAGCCTTCCAAATATATCTGGAATCTGACCTATTTTTCACTACCTCAATCCATCACCTAGTCCAGGCCATTTCTATTTCTTACCTGGATTTTTGCAAAAGCCTCCTATTTTGACACCTGTTCCCATACAGTCTTTTCCTAATAGAGCAGAGGGGGCATGTCCGTTCTCTTCTCAAATCCCTCAGGGGCTTTCCATCTCCCTCAGAAGTCCTTACAGAGGCCTTCCAGTTCCTGCACAATCTGCCCACTCCCATTTCTACCTCTCCCCGCTCCCTGTTTCAACCACACTGGCCTCTTTTCCTAATACTCCAGGCATGCCTCTGCCTTAGCACCTTTGCACTGGCTGCTTCCGCTGCCTGGAGCACTCTCTCACATACCTGCATGGCTCACTGCTTCACCTCCTCCAGGTCTTCACTCAGGTGTCTCCTTCTCTTGAGACTTTTCTGACCACTCTGTTGAAAATAGAAACTCTTATCTCTATCTACTCCTCTTTACTACTTTTTTTTTCCTTCTTGTGCCTATTACCATAGAGTAAAATTGGTATTTTACTGATGTATCTATGTATTGTCTATCTCCCCTCACTAGAAGCTTCATGAAAGCAGGGATTTTCATCTGGTTTTTCATTGTTGTAAATGAATATAACTCTCAGCATTACCCAATTACCAAGCTATTCCATACATCAAATTAATTTCATTTTAAAAATCTAGAAGTTTTTGTATTATTTAATTCATACTTACGTTTTTTAAAATGTAGAAATGCATGAAGCACAAAGAATGAATCCCCTTTCTTTCCCATCCCACCAGACTCTACCCTCCAGAAATCACCAATGCTAATAATTTCTTATGTATTATTCTAGATTTTTTTTTCTGAGTATAAACATACACACATGATTCCACACAATTTATGTGTATAAAACAGTGAAAATATTTCCAGTGCCTTGATTTTGAAACTTAACCAGTATACTCTGGACATTTTCCATATTAGTATATATATATTTATATACATGTATATTTGTATACACAGTCATATGTCACTTAATGACGGGGATGCATTCTGAGAAGTTTGTTGTCAGGTGATTTCATTTTGTGAATATCATAGTGTACTTAAACCTAGATGGTGTCTGTCACCCACTATCACCTACTACACACATAGACTATATGCTAAAGCCTGTTGCTTCTAGACTACAAACCTATACAGCATATTACTCTACTGAACTTTGTAGGCAGTTGTAACACAATGGTAAGTATTTGTGTATCAAAACATATCTAAACAAAGAAAGGGTATAGTAAAAATGCAGTATTATAATCTTTTGGAACCACCATCATTTATGCAGTCTGTTGTAGACCAAAATGTTTTGTGGTGTGTGACTGTATACATATAAATATATATGTTTTTAAATTGCCATTTGTTATTACATTATCTACCTACATGTATTTAGTTTATTAACTAGTTTCCTACTGTTGAATATTTAGGTAGTTTCCAATTGTTCTACTGTTATAAACAACAGGTTACTTAGTTTTCATTCTAACTAAATTTAAGTGCTTTATACGCAGTGAATAAGAAATCTCGGCTGAGTGCAGTGGCTCATGCCTGTAATCCCAGCACTTTGGGAGGCCAAGGCAGGTGTATCACCTGAGGTTTGGAGTTTGAGTCCAGCCTGACCAACATGGAGAAACCCCGTCTCTACTAAAAATACAAAATTAGCTGGATGTGGTGGCGCATGTCTGTAATCCCAGCTACTCGGGAGGCTGAGGTGGGAGAATCGCTTGAACCCGGGAGGCGGAGGTTGCGGTGAGCCGAGATCGCACCATTGCAGTCCAGCCTGGGCAACAAGAGCAAAACTTCGTCTCAAAAAAAAAAGAAAAAAAGAAATCTCCCAATTCCTGTTCAGTTTCTAAACTGATGCTTTTAAAGAGAATGATTTTCTTTTTTGTAAAATCAGAATCTAGAGTGTTTGGCTGTCTAGTAATTATTAGATACATATGAGTTTATGCATGTTGTCACCATAAAAGAAAAAAACTTCAGATGTTTCTTTTCGTTTTTCAACTCAATCCAATCTTAACATCTGAAAAAGTAGTTTCTACTTAGATGGAGAATGTCAACTTGGCCAATATTTAAACAAAGCAGTATATTTAAAAGAAACTCTGTTTTCTTCTAGACTATAAACTGTAGCTATAAGCTGATGTTCTTTAAAGAAAAAAACAAAACAAAACCTGAAGTCTTTTCCCTTCCTGCTTGACAAAGGAAGTCTTTTCCCTTCCTGCTTGTCTGAGAGGATTGGGTTTCTGTTAAGTCATAAGGTGAAAACAGTACTCTTCACGAACCACATGTAAGGCACCTTCTGTCACCAAACTAGGGACATAATTTAATACATGTGTTTTGGGAAAAAAAAATAGATGAAAAACTGGATGAATGGGAGATCTTTTACCAGGTACATTCCATTGATGGGTTGGAATCTGGTTTATTGGACATCACTTCGGTCCACAGGTGCTGTAAACCACTGACATTTTTAAGGTTACACTTCACAAGCGCTTGAGGGAAAAATAGTAGGTCCATAGAGATCACAGATCCTGGATGACACATCTGTTACTTTCCACAAATACCTATAATTAACCTGAGTACTCTTTCCTATTAACACAACTGAGTTGCTTCATCATTTGGCCAAAAAACTGAATTTTCTACAGAAATATATTGTGAAAGTAACCAAGATTCTGACATCTACTAGGTAAAATCTTACTTTGTGTCTAATACTACCCATAGCAGAGCTGTCCAGTAAAATAAAATACAAGCCACCTATATAACCTCAAACTTTCTAATAGCCACATTAAAAAGGTAAAAAGAAACTGGTAAAATTATTTTAAATAATAGTTTTATTTGTGAGTATATCCAAAATATTATCATGTCAACAGGTAATTAATATAAAACTAATGAGCTACTTTACACTTTTTTTCCTACTATAAGTCCTCAAAATCTGGTGTGCGCTTACAGCACATTTCAATTTGGATGCCAATTTTTTATCAGAAATACTAGATCTCATTTCATAACATTTATACTTTTAAAAGATTCATAAATGTGAGTTGTTCCAAGATAAAAGGTTTTGTGTAACTGAACTGAGTTATTTAAATTTCAATTTGAGTTTTAAATTTTAAAGTAATTAAAAGTAAGTAAAATAAAAAAATTCAGTTTCTCAGTCACACTAGCCCGGCATTTCAAGTGCTCAGTAGCCACAGTTATCTAGTGTCTAGTGGCTATGGTATTGGTCCCTGTGGGTCTATAGTAACTATTCTTTTTTTTTTTTTTTTTTGAGACAGTGTCTTGCTCTGTTGCCCAGGCTGGAGTGCAATGGCAAGATCTTGGCTCACTGCAACCTCCATCTCCTGGGTTCAAGCAATTCTCCTGTCTCAGCCTCCAGAGTAGCTGGGATTACAGGTGCCCACCACCATGCGTGGCTAATTTTTTGTATTTTTTAAGTAGAGACAGGGTTTCACTGTATTGGCCAGACTGGTCTTGACCTCCTGACCTCAAGTGATCCACCTGCCTAGGCCTCCCAAACTGCTGGGATTATAGGCATGAGCCACTACGCCCGGCCTATAGTAACTATTCTTTTTTTTTTTTTTTTTGAGACAGAGTCTCGCTGTCTCGCCAGGCTGGAGTGCAGTGGCATGATCTCGGCTCACTGCAACCTCCGCCTCCCAGGTTCAAGCAATTCTTCTGCCTCAGCCTCCCAAGTAGCTGGGGCTACAGGTTCGCGCTACCACACCCAGCTAATTTGTATTTTTAGTAGAGACAGGGTTTCACCATGTTGGCCAGGATGGTCTCGATCTCTTGACCTCATGATCCACCTGCCTCGGCCTCTCAAAGTGCTGGAATTACAGGCGTGAGCCACTGTGCCCAGCTAGTAACTATTCTTAGAGGACGTATATTCCACTCTTAAATGGTGATACAATGTGCTTATTGATATATGTTAGAAGAATGAGGAAAAGCAGGCTACTCATCCATGTGGATATTGTTGATGTATTTCTATATGTTGAATATAGTAATTTATGTGTGAATTACAAGTTCTTACATTTTGTTGTATTTTATTTAAGTATGTTTTTATTTTACCAGTTTTACTAGCATCAAATTTTATTGACATATAAATCCCCTGAGGACCTAAATAACAATATTTTTATACCCTTTAAGAGAAATTTATTTTTGTACTTGATGCTTAAGATATGTGATTTTTACTTAACTTGTTAGAGACACCACCCACTTGGAGATTGAGCCCTTCACTCTTCTCGGCGTGTGTGCTGGACTGATCCCATACCCTCACCATAACCAGTCACCGAGAAACACTTACCAGTGTGCCATGGGGAAACAAGCCATGGGTAAGATTTCCTTCTTGAAAGTTGGTTCTAAATACTTGGAAATACTTTTGGAAAAAATCTTACACCTTTATTCCTGCTTCACCAGTATTATATGTTTAAACAAATCAGGCACTGGGAACACCGGAGGGTTACCAAGCCCAGGGAGTTACGTATGAAACTCTGCAAGGCTTGGTGCCCTGCCATGTCTAAAGCTTAAACAAAAATGGAGAAAACCTCTCTAAACTTGTTTCCTTCAAGAAAACAAAGCAATATATAATTAGTGTCACATAATTAAGAGGGATAAATGTAAAGAGAAAAGCCCTGTAAGATGTAACTTGTTAACCTTGAGAGATGGGAGAAAGGGCAGAAAAACTCAAGCTTAAGGAGGAAGAGGGAGAAAAAAACAGATAAAGATGTACGATGTCTATTCAAATGTACCTAGTAATTGCCTGGTTGACAATCCCCGAACCCATTATACCCTTGCAATTGCTAATGTATCTCCTAAAACTTATCCAATTCATGTCACACTGATTCCTGAGTTTATTTTGCTTCCTCTTTCTCTTTTTCTTCCTTTCATATATTTATTTATTCATTTGTAACATTTATTGAGCATAACTGTAGACTAGACATGAGGCTGGAGCCTGAAAATAGAGAGATGAGGCAGAGTCCTGTGCTCAGGGAGTTCAGAGTCTAGTAGAGGAGACCAACAAATAAAACAGTAACCCAATCTAGTGTAATAAATACTGTAATTGAAAACCAAAATCTAAGAAAATTAGAGGAGGAAGGTCACTTAAAGTAAGAGTGGGTTGTTTCTGAAGGGTAGAGCTGAGCTGAGTCTTGGAAGACTGAGTATATTTGAAGGTATGGAAGTGTGAGCAAGTATGGCATAAGAGGTCTCAGTTCTTTGGTGTGGCTGCCTAGTGTAGCATGGTACAGAGGCGTGAAAGGGAAGTGCCATATGTTGAGGAGTTTGAGTTTTATCTTGAAGGTAATACAGAGAGAATGCTGGTGCCCCCTTACCCGCCACAAAAAAAGTTTTACTTATAAAGCTTTTTGAAATGTTTTTTAAAATCATTTAAATCCTAGTATATTTAATCAATTTTATTTTCATATATGCCCATGACACCAGTATGATTGCCATCTCTGATTTAAAGTATGATGCAAGGGGCTTCATAAAGAAACTGTAAAAATGTAGAGAGGGAGGCATTGCATTGCCTTTGGGTAACAACCGGAATGCATTTAGCTCCTCCGTTACCAACAACCAGCTGCAACTGACCATAGCTTGGCAATTAAGAAACCCTATTTCTTCATTATGGATAGAGAGTAGATATATTTCTTTTCAAGTTTTTATATTGCCCTCTGGTTAGCTACCAAGAAATAAAAAGCATTTTATCCTGCTACTGTTTACCTGAATGATGTAATGCCTGGACAGTTGAGAATCATTCCCAGTGGGAAAATCTAAACAGCAGCTCATCAATTTAGCCTTTCCATTCATCCTCAGCAGCGGTGTAGGCTGATTTCCCGCTTGTGCTTCTGACTTGCTAACAAGTTGAAATATACAGTACTGAACCCTGTGTGTCATGAAAGGGCTATCACTTCTATTGGGTTTACCAAACCATTTTGTTTCATGATGTGAATCCCAGCTGAAACAATACACCTTTTGTGTGGAACCTTCAGCAGAATTAACGGAAGACTAATCACTTCATCGCTAATGCCACTCTTTAGTGTGTTTGAAGATCGAAACAGAAAGAGCTGCAGCTATCTCCATGTAGTGAAGCTTTTTTAAAAAATAAAGAATAGACTTGAAAGAAAGAAATAATATTTTTATTTTTACAACTCTGCTTCCCACAAAAAAAAAAAAAGAAAAGAAAAGAAAAGAAAAACCCTTTATATGTGGCCATGAGTATCTGAAACGTTTGGTTAGTTACCACACACAGTTAAGCAGGATCAGTGTGTACAGAAAGCCAATTCAGTGTCTGTAGAGTTCTTTTGTAGTTTTCTGTGTGAAGGTTTTTTTTCTCGTTTTGTTTTGAGTGTCATTTGCAATTCATTGTCTGTGTTTTCTGAGGTTGGTGTATTCAGCTGCTCTGACCCTGGGTCCTGCACATTTAGCTCCTTGGATACAATCCTCTGACGTTACTGCTGACGCTAGGAAGACAAAAGCCACTGAATATCTTAAGTAATAAAAAAAAGCCTTTGTTACTGTTTGTTATTATAAAACACCTGACTGGAAAGAAAAGCAGCGAGATAAAAGTACATTTAGAGTTGGCATATAACACAGCAGCATTTCTCTGTGGACACTGAAATAGCTGCAGAAGTATTGAGCAAAGTCTGCTTGCAAAACGACAAAAGGAAAAAGGTCGGCAGAGGGAGAAAACCCACAGCAGATACCCAGGTCTGTAATGCAGACTTCGCACTTTAAGTAGGACTTCTCTGGATCGGTTTAATTCCTTGCAGTCTTGACAGCTGATAACTAAAACTCACACTCTATCCTGTCTTTACTATGAGCCATTGCTGAAGATTATTTAAATTCAGAGATTCTATGTGGATTTTCTAAAATAATATTTTAGTTGCTAGTCTTCTGTCTGCTGGTCTGGTCCATGTATAACATGGAAGATAGTAGCTCACAATTAATTCACTAAATATTCTAGCCAATCTGGAAAATTTGCTCTCTACCATTCCCTACTATGCCTCCTACTACCCCACAAGAGAGTGAAGAAATGAGAGAAAGTCATTTTCTATTACTACGAAGGAGATCCACAAACCACAGAGATGGAAAGCCTTACCTTGTATGTAAGAGGGAGCTAATCCACGATAAAACACCAGCAGAGGGTGTTTCTTCAGTCTTAGGCGCTTTAAGTTATTAATAAAGTTCAAGTTCCCACACAGCACCTTACTGTGCCACTGAGAAGCACTTCTCCATGGATATGGCTGTGTGTGTATTGTGACATGGCTCAGAGCAAGAAAGTCAGGTGGACATCTGGAAATGGCTGGATCTCCAGGTCACTCACTCAGCACTACCAGGAAGGGCTGTGTGTTGGAGCCACCTTTTGTGTCATCTCATTGGTGCCCGATGCCAAGTTCACATGAGCCACACTTTCATATCCTGCCCATTCATTAGTTGGTAATCCTCTAGTGGAACACTTTCTCCTGTGTAAAAGGATCATTCAGTTACTATCAGCTCAATTAATGAATATGCAGCACAGACCTTCGCAGACCTCAACAGTGGCTCCTTCTCACTACCCCTTCCCGCTTCAACTGCAAACTACTGGGACTGTTTTCTAAGCTCAGGAGTGAATGCAGCTTCTGTTTTTGTATTTGTTTTCAATAGATTCTATTCCTAAGTAGATAGTTTCTTCCTTTCTGTTCCCCACTTTACAGTAGGCTGAGATGTACTAGAAATAGGCTGGAGGATTTTGAGACACTAAAAACACAATATACAAAGATCCTCATAAAATTTTGTTTCATCCTACACCTTCTCCCCCTTTCTGTTTGATTTGATTTTTAGCATATTTATTCTTTGTCCAGTTGAGGGTACAAAATGCAAAAAATGTTTTGGCCAAATTACCCTGGAAATTATTTTTCAAATTCTGCTATTGGTTAAAATTTTTTTAAATTATTGTAGCTATTTTAGGTATAAGCTTGTGTGGTATTTTCTAAGACTAGAATGTTAGCAATGAATATATACGGAGGTACAGTTGCGTACTCTAAGTTTAGTATGTAGCTTTGAGTGGGAGGTAGAATGAATATTATAGGGTAATAAGATATGTATTTTTATTATTACTAATATTGTTAATATTGGTTATAAATAATGTTGCCACTTACTGAGTATCCAAATTCTTTACATACATTATTTCTTTTTTTTTTTTGAGATGGAGTCTTGCTGTCACCCAGGCTGGAGTACAGTGGCACAATCACAGCTCACTGCAACCTCCACTTCCTGGGTTCAAGGAATTCTCCTGCCTTAGCCTCCTGAGTAGCTGGGACTGCAGACGCACACCACCATGCCAGCTAATTTTGTGTGTGTGTGTGTGTGTGTGTGTGTGTGTGTCTGTTTTTAGTAGAGACAGGGTTTCACCATGTTGGCTAGGCTGGTCTCGAACTCCTGACCTCATGTGATCTGCCTGCCGTGGCCTCCCAAAGTGCTAGGATTACAGGTGTGAGCCACCATGCCCAGCCCTTTTTTTTTTTTAATCTCAATAATAATCCTTTGAAATATAATGCATACTTTTTTTTTGTTCTGACAAGGAAGCTGAATCCCACTTTTGTTGAGTAACATATAAAAGGTTTTCTATGTCTTCTATGTAATGTTACCTATAAAACTTACTAAAATTCTTCTCAACCAAAACTAACTTCTTTTCTCATTTTTTTCCTGTCCATTGTGGATCACGATCAGGCTGCCTTTTCTGGTAGAATGTAAATTATAAGCCCCTTTAAGTCAGGGGCTCTGTTATTTATTACAGGTTGAATATCCCTTACCTGAAATGCTTAGGACCAAGAGTGTTTCAGATTTTGGATTTTTTTTGGATTTTGAAATATTTGCATATACATAATAAGATATCTTGGGGATGGGACCCAAGTCTAAACATGAAATCCATTTAAGTTTCATATACACTTTATACACGTAGCCTAAAGATAATTTATACGATATTTTTGATAATTTTGTACATGAAGCAAAGTTTGACTAAGTTTTGACTACAACCCATCACGTGAGGTCAGGTGTGGAGTTTTCCACTTGTGGCGGCATATTGGTGCTCAAAATGTTTCTGATTTAGGAGCATTTTGGACTTTGGATTTTTGACTAAGGATGCTCAACCAGTGTTACAGTTGACTCTTGAACAACACAGGGGTTAGGAGCATCAACTCCTCTCACAGTTGAACATCCATGTATAACTTTTGACTCCCCTAAAGCTAATTACTAATAGCCTACTGTTGACTGAAAGTCTTACCAATAACATAGTCAATTAACACTTACTTTGTATGTGATATGTATTATATGCTATATTCTTACAATTCAAATAAGCTAGATAAAAGAAAATGTTATTAAGAAAATTATAAGGAAGAGCAAATATATTTATTATTCTTTAAGTGGAAATGGATTATCATAAAGGTCTTTGTCCTCGTCGTCTTCACACTGAGTAGGCTGAGGTGTAGAGGAAGAGAGAGATTGGTCTTGCTGTCTCAGGGGCAGTAGAGGCAAAAGAAAATCCATATATGAATGGTCTCCCTTTTTAAGGAAGCTGAAAATAGTAATAGGGGAATCAGAGTTTGAGCATGTGCTGCACACAGACAAGCCTTATCATTTGCTTGCCTATTGCTTCTTGGCAAAATGGTTAGTCAGCCATTCATTATTTTTATAAAAATTTGGGAATCTGATAGCATTTTGAAGTTTTATGACATAGAATAGTTTATAAGTCCTATTTTAACATTTTAACTTACACACCCATAGTCGGTGCTGCTAAAAATGCACATATATGTATACTATCACAAGTTTTTTGAAAAGCCTTTAGAGAAAACTTTTTGATGTCATAAGCACTAAACATTTGCTAAACTATTTTGTTGTTCATCCATTCAGTGGTCAGTTGTAATGCCTGAGAATTATGTTCTGGGCCTGTTAGCACAATTTATAGCAGGATCCAGTCTCTTTCACCATTGTTTAGAGGTGCAGCCATTTATGTTTCCCTGCTGCATAATAATGCGTGTCTCAGGTTTCAGAAGACATGTTTGGCAGCCTGGTGGGACATTGCCTGAACCCTTGTCTCCAGCTGAGTAAAGTATACAATTGAAACTGAAATCTCAACATAAATTTTAAGTGATTTCATATAAAAGGACAAACTTATTGTCAGTGAACTTTACCATAATCCCAGCAGTAGTAATCCTATTTCTAAAACAGTAAGTGATCTATTGCCAGGTATCCTGCCCAGTTTATTAGTTGGCACTAAAATAGCATAAATTAATTGGCAATTTATAGTGCAAACTCGATAAAAAGTTCATGAGGTTCAGTTCGACTTGTTTTTCAGCTGAATCCTGTTAAATTTTTAGAGATTTAAGCACATACTGTCATAAAAAGTATAATGGGATTCTTCAGTTTAATTCACTTGACATTTATTGAGCATCTATAATCTATATAATAAGCATGGCACTGTCACTGTACTAGGTATTCCCTACATATTTACTATTTATTTCAATAGTAATTGTCAAGGAGTACCATATCATTTTTGCTGCTTGGTTTATTTTCTTTTTCTTCTTTTTTTTTTTTTTTTTCAGGGTCTTGCTCTGTTGCCCAGGCTTGAGTATAGTGGTATGATCTTAGCTCACTGCAACCTTTACTTCCTGGGCTCAAGCACTTCTCATGCCTCAGCCACCCAAGTAGCTGGGACTACAGGCACACACCACCATGCCCAGTTAATTTTTGCATTTTTAGTAGAGACATGGTTTTGTCATGTCTGGTCTTGAACTCCTGAGCTCAAGCAATCCACCCACATTGACCTCCCAAAGTGCTGGGATGACAGGCATGAGCCACCACGCCCAGCCTGAATAACTTACTTTCATCCCCAAAATGAAATCATCATTGATTTAATGACATGAGTATGGAGAAAAAGTTAAAGGAAATGAATATTGAGTTTTGGTGTCTGCACACCCTAGGGTGTAACTCTGTGAAATGGCACTTAGGTACTTTGGAGTGTGTGTGTGTGTGTGTGTGTGTGGTGTGTGTGTTGTGCATGTGTCACCATGGAAGCATGTGCAAGAGAGAGAGGCTTAAAGCTAGCTTCTTTTTTCTAACACTAACATCTGTTCTTAGCTATTCACGGGGGAAAAAAAAAGAGATACCTAGGAGAAGTTAAAGAGGCTCTGTAGCCCACACTCAAGCTCAACGGTAGAGCAAGACTGAGTTTTCCAAATTTAACGTCTCTGTGTAGCATCAGTTCTGTGCCCACAAGCCCAGGAGACTAAAAGACTTTTCTTCAGACAGGTCCATGAACCCCACTGTGTTTATGAGGGGAAATGAGAGAAAGGGATGAGAGAAAGGGTTAACCTTCTGATTTCATGTTCAGTTGACAGTGACCCAATAACACCCTTCTGAGGAACAATCAGGTGGAACAAGACTGATTGCTAAGGAGGGAAGAGCCCACCCCTGATTGGGCTGTACCCTAGATTTCTTAAGGAAGGGACCAAGCCTTTTCCCATTTTATCTCCAGTGTTTGGCACAGAGTAGATGTTTATTAACTGCTTAATAAGTGAATCATCAAATAAATGAATAATCCCCTCTTCCTTGCTCTCACTTTAATTCCTCTTTGTTCATTCTTTTTCTTCCCTTCTCTCCTGTATTCTTTTTCATTTAGAACTTTTGTAATTGTTTATTTCTTTTTATGGAATATACCTGTTTATCCATTTTATAAGCTCCTTGGATGTGAACACTGGGCGTTATCTTACATTACCTCTCCCCAGCAGGCCTGGAACATGGTAGAACCGAATAAAGAATTGTTGATTGTGAAGTTAACCAGTGGAAACTAAATCCCTTAAATGGGATAATATAAATCTAAAAAGTCTAAATTATTTAGATTAAGATATACTCTGAGTATATTTTTCCTTCTTTGTAGGACTTTAAAACTTTAAATATTAGTGAGAAAAGTTGCTTTTACAAGTTGTTAAGCCACCATGAGAGTATTGCTTTTGAAATTTTGAACCTGAAGAGTTTCTTCATTTTAATTAGTGATGTTAATGTATTTATCTCTATTTTCATTACTACCTTATTATTTCACATAATAGAATGTTGTATTTTGTTTTCTTCAATATCAATGCAGGTACTATAGGATACAACCAGCGAAACAGAATTGATACTCTCATGTATCTACTAGCATATCCACAAAAACCCATGGTTAAGACAAAAACCATTGAATTGATAGAATTTGAGAAACTGCCAGCTGGACAGAATGCAACAGTTGCTGTGATGAGCTATAGTGGCTATGATATTGAAGATGCCCTTGTTTTAAACAAGGCCTCTTTAGACAGAGGTAAGTGAATTTTCAAAACTAACGCCAAAGGTGCTTTTTGCAGAGTTAGATATAGGGATGATTAATGTAGAGATCACTTGGTTAATGTCATTTCAAGTTATTTGAATTTTATGATATAGAAACAGGAGATGGTTGGGTTTTGATGTTGGCTTTCTTGTCATTTTTAATGAATAGTATATTGAGATAATTTGTTAAACATATTACTACAGAATATTTTTCTTCTCTGTTATTTTATTGGGTTACGTGAGACAGTCCTTCAAAGAGAAAAAAACGTAAGAATGTGTTTTACAGCAGGAATTACAATATATGAAATATGTGTTTTCACTGTATCTAGTGATATATATTATTAACAAACCTGTTTGAGAGGGCAGTAGCAATATCTGGATGTAAAAAGCTGTTTCTTATTTGCGTAACCTCATAATTTGGTACCTTCTTTGGCCAAGCGACGAAAGTTAAAAATATACGGCCGCAAACTCTGGCGTGGAGTTTTTCTGCTTTTCTTTCTGTTTTTGACAATTACTTTCGCAAGTCACCACTTCGTGATTTGTTAGACATCACCTGATCTGAAGTCTGACTTCTCTATTCATAATCTCGATTTCTCTTTTTCCTTTCTGGCATACCCACTATGCCTTCCCCTTCCCTCTTTGTAGTTGCTAGGCAGCCATAATAATACTCCTAGACATGTGTCTTTGGCATTAATGTTGGCCACACTTAATTTATGCCTCTTTTTTTCCTCCAAATGACAACAGCCATGCTTTAAAACTAGATGTTTTCCTTTCTGATTAACTGGTAACATTTATGTGGAAATCTGAAGACTTTGTGATGTCTGTCAGAAACTCTGCAACCCAATTTAATGATCTGAGTTTACTGTCCGCTAGCTCTTAAGCTATCACCTGTGAATAAAATGTCTCTTTACACTTTGAAGAAAACAGTTCTTGATTTCATGCAGTTAAGATTCACATTGCACTCCAGCATGTTGCAGTTAATGGCTACTATATGAAATTTCAAGATCATGTAATGTTTCCAAACCAGCTGGCATTCTGAGCCCAGTTTATTATGGCCATACACAATTTCCTCGGAGCCGTGATGACTGCGGCCTTGCTTAAAGACACAAATGTCTTCATCTGACGTCCGGTTGTAGAAATTTGTTACTTCATCTCACAGTCACCTTCATATTTAACAAATTACACTACAGCCCTGAGATTTTATTTATAAATCCACTTTTACCTGATTGATTTCTAAAGTCACATTCTTAGATTTCTGCTTTTGGTGGAAAATTGTTAAGTGAAGGATTTTACAGCCATGCATTTATTTCATCAGTAATAACTGGCATTGAATCCTGAGACATTTTCTTATTTAAGTGAACTCTGGCATGGCTCAATATATCCTGAGGAGATTAGTAAGAGAATCTAGTTTAAAATAACTGCTTGGCCAAAGGGAAAAAAGAAAGAAATGCAGCCACAGAATCTTAGGAAATTATAGTGTTGAAGGAATGACAGCTGTTTTGGGTAACTCTACAACTCATGGGTTTTTTTCTTTTAGGGATTCAGTGGTTGAGTTTTTTTGCCCCACCCAAAGGTTTTTCTTCTGTCCTTTTTGCTTATTTTTCTTCCTTTTATTTTTCGGATCCATTGGTAGACAGCTTATTTTTCTTAATGTTCAGATTGTTAGTTGACTTCACAGCTTTTCCCTCATCCACTAGATAAATGCAATCTAAAAATGTCATTAAACTCCAATCTTTAGGGAAGAGGAGAACTATTTTTCCCATTGAAATAATTTGATTGTTCTTTTTTCATTCTGTCTCTTCTCTGGAGGAAAATTAATGTTTTTACTTGCTGGCTTAGAACTTGCTCTAAATGCCAAATTTTAAAAAGAAAAACTTTCCAGGGAAGGTTAGCAGAAGTTGTGCACCAAAAGAATGTGTGTCCTGGCTCAGGAGTCAGTGGCCTTGTGCTGTTTAACACAATCCTCAACTCTGCTGCCAACTTGCCAGATGACCTTGGCCACTTAATTTCTCTGGACCTCACTCCTAGTGCCTGTGAAAGGGATAGGTTAAGCAGGTGATTTCTAAGGCCCTTTCCAATTCTAATATTCTATGGCTCTGTCCTCTGAAAGAATCACAGTGCCAGTCTTAGATTTCTCTCACCCTTCTCCAGTTTGACAAGGTGTATTCTGTGCAGAAAATGGTTGTAGAGATTCCAGTGTTTACACAGACAGTAGGTAGGGGACAAGTCCTGTGCCACTTCTTCAGATTATCAGATTTTTATTTGGTTTGTACTGGTCCCAGATTATGATCAAATACAGAGAAGCTTTGGGATTTGGGGGAGAGTGAGGTGGAATGGATTGCTGAGTAGCACAAATCTATATTTTCTTATAGCTTTGGATTACTGGTGGTTCTAATGCCCATTTTGGTTTCATTTTAGGCTTTGGGCGTTGCCTTGTATATAAAAATGCTAAATGTACGTTGAAACGATATACCAATCAGACTTTTGATAAAGTAATGGGGCCCATGTTGGATGCTGCTACAAGGAAACCTATCTGGCGACATGAAATCTTAGATGCAGATGGTATTTGTTCTCCAGGTAAAAGCCTTTTGAAAGAAATATTTTTAATATATACCTTTGAAATCATGTGTTATTCCATAATATTTCTTGAATACTTGACAAAAAGGGCAGAAAAACGTAACAACCTATAAAACCACTATCCAGACTCAACCAATGAGGTCATTTTTGGTGAATTTCCTTCCAGTTTGTTTTTCTATACACTATGTTTTTACCTATCAGTAATCTGTGCTAACTGTAATTTTCTAGTTATGATTTTGAATAATAGAAAAGCCACTTTAAGGAAATATTTAGAGTAGTTCGTGTCCCTGCATCTGCACTGGTATTTCTTCATTTACGCACTTAGCTTACAGACTACTTTAGAATTTTATCCCCCTGCAAAGGTATGACTCCATTATAATTACAAACTTGTAATGCATTTTGTTGATGAAACAAATAGTCCTTGCCCTTATGGGTCTCACAGGCTGGTGCAGGAGACTGACGTTGATCAGAGGATCATGCACAAACTCAGGTTAAGGAATCATATAGGTAGCTATGAGGCCATTTTATAGCAAGAGGATTTGACCTAGTTAGGAAGATCAGCATGGCCTTCCCCAAGGAAGTGAGCTGGAATCTGAAGGATAGGGAAGAGTTAACTAAAGAAGAGGGTCAGGGAGCGTGTTCTAAGTAGTAAGAAAAGCTTGTGCAAGGGTCCCGGAGCTTGGTAGTTGAAAGATCTGAAAGAAGACCAGTGCGGCTAACAAGAAGAGAGTGCAGGGAAGCATGGTGCGCATGAGTTGGTGGGTGACGCGCGGGGTAGGTGCCAGAGTAAGCAAGTCCTTGCAACTGTGTTAGTATTGTCTTTATTTTATTTTATTAATTTTATTTTTGAGACAGGGTCTCAGTCTGTCACCGAGGCTGGAGTGCAGTGGCACAATCTCAGCTCACTGCAACCTCTGCCTTCTGGATTCAAGCGATTCTCCCACTTCAACCTCCTGGATAGCTGGGACCCATAGGCGCGTGCCACCATGCCTGGCTAGTTTTTTGTATTTTTTGTAGAGATGAGGTCTTACCATCTTGCCCAGGCTGGTGTCGAACTCCTGGGCTCAAGTTCTCCACCCACCTTGGCTTCCCAAAGTGCTGGGATTATAGGCGTGAGCCACCATGCTGAGCCCGTGATACTATTTTCATTATGATCCTAAAAGCAGTGATATATTCAGATATGTGTTTTGAAATGATCATTCTGACTACAGTGTAGAAAAAGGATTAGAAGGGCACTGAAATAGAAGGTAGACCTGGTACCAGGAGCTGTGGTGAAGGTGGAGAGAACCCAGTTGTTAGGAGGAAAATCCACATGACTTTGTCATGGTTGGCCTGTGGGTGGTGAATGCTTTATCAAGCTGTGGTTCCAAAGAGACACAGAGTACGTGACTTCTCCTCCCTCTGTCTGCCTTTGTTTCTTGGAGGATTTTTCTCATCCTAACCCTGGTCAGTATGGCTTGGAAAATACGCGCTATGACAGTACTACAGGTAGTTGGTCTTTGAGCTTACCAGGAAGAGATACAAAGCAAAAATGGGAATAACAGCAAAACCAAAGAAATATTTTGATTTCCTCATTGCCCAAGTTGAATTGGTGGTGGCTTATTACTGGTTGAAATAACTGTGAATAAAAATAAGTGATCAAAACTTAACATCTTAAGAGATATATAAAATTGCTATTTACTGAGATGGTGTTTCTTATGTTAACATAGTACTCTGAATTATTTTCTTAATTTTATATACACTATGATATATGTGTGTGTGTGTGTGTGTGTCTCATTCTGTTGTCCAGGCTGGAGTGCAGTGGCATGATCATAGCTCACTGCAGCCTCAACCTGGGCTCAAGCAGTCCTCCTACCTCAGCCTCCTAAGTAGTTGGGACTACAGGCATGTTCATCTGTGCCTAGTTCGTAATCTTTATTCCACACAGATGATAACAATATGCCTAACACTTTTCTTTTCTTCTCAGGTGAGAAAGTAGAAAACAAACAAGTGCTTGTAAATAAGTCCATGCCCACGGTGACTCAGATTCCTTTGGAAGGAAGTAATGTACCACAGCAACCACAGTACAAAGATGTACCCATAACGTATGTATTGGTTGAGCCTTGATAATATGTAGAAAGGTTAGAAAAAAAGAAGGAATGGGAGAAATTAGAAGGTAGGTCTTGGTGTGTTGGAGAACTAGAAATAGCAATTTGGGGTAACATTACTTGTCATGAAAAAAGCATGGCATAGAATATAAAACTAGTCTATGGAATCATATAGACCCTAAACTGGGTTTGAGGTGTGGACCACATAGGCAGGGGTTCCTGGTGGAATTAACAACAGGATGAAGGGTACATGGCATAATAGTGCCTGGGTTTGAGGATCAGTGCAGCTTGCTGGGGTAGGTTGTGAAAGAGTTGGGAATTGATACTGCAGAGAGGGACATGATAAGAGTCATATTTTTACACAGTGAAACACACTGGCCACAGCATGGCATCACAGTATACTAGAACATAGCCCAGCTCTCGTACAGGTTGTCTTGTGTATCTTACATGAGTAAAGCAGTTAAATTCTGTTAGCTTCAGTTTTTTCATTTGTATAATACAATGAAAGAGTTAGACTTGTTAATCTCTAAATTTCTTCTAAGCTCTAAAATTTAATAAAGTATGAACCTAGTGAGAAGGGCCAATGATAGTCACCACATTGTAATATAAAAACCAAACTAGGAGAGACATTTAACCTAGCCAAGGTGAACTAGGCTAACTGAGTTTAGGAGGTGGCAGTGAGGGTGACATAGGAGAACTGGATTCTTGAGCTGTGATGGCAGTTTTACAAATGTATTCAATACACAGTAGCTGAGGCCTGCTGTGTGCCAGCCACCCTGCCTCTTGTGCCAGTGATAGAGAGCTGAAATAAGCCACAGGTGTTGCTTGCAAGGAGTCGTGTTTAGTTGGCAAAGACCCCCACACAAAAAAAGTGCGGTAATGACCGTGATCATAATAGCTTATTGGGAATTTATACTGTACCAGTTACTGTTCTGGACATTTTACATGTGTTAGCTCAGTTAATCCTACCACCACCCTAGGAGCTATGTTCTGTTAGTGGCTCATTAGAAAGATAAGATGGAAGCAAGGAGAAGTTAAGTAACTTACCAAGGTCACACAGCAGTAAGGGGCAGCACCAGGATTTGAAGTCATGCAATCTGGCTTCAGAGCACTTCTCTTGACCATTGTGCTAAACACAGCAAGAGAGTCATCTCGGGTGCCATGGATTTGTCTCTGGAGGAGGAGCACCAAGGAGAAAATGGGCAGCTATGCTTAGGGGATGGGTCCAGACTCTTACACTGACTTCTACAGGGTGAACAGCTATTTTACAGTTACAGAGGTGGCTATGCTGGTTGGCTCTCTTCCTGTCTTGAAGGAGGATATCTCTTTTTCTGTGCAAAGTTCATCTCTCCTTTTGGTTTCTTAATTTTATTCACTCTTTTCAGAGACCTTTTTCTGTCATCTTCTCTTTTATCCTCCCATATTTTCAACCTGTTTCCTATTGATTCCTTCTTTACAGGTTAGAAAATGTGCTCAGATACTTTTTACCTGTAAAGGAAAATAAAAGTTTTTTCTGGTCTTTGTGTCCCTTTCTAGCTGCCACTGTATTCCTCTTCCTTTGACTGTGAAGCTCCTCAGAGCAGTCGTCTGTCGTCTCCATTTCTGCTTTGTTACCTTCTGCTCACTCCCTAACCCTCGGAACTGGCCTCTTACCTACCTCCTCATTCTCCTGAAACAGCTCCAGAAGAGGTCACCAAAGACATCCTATATGTTCATTTCGTTCAAGAAATACTTTTGTTTTTGAGACTGAGTCTTGCACTGTCACCCGGGCTAGAGTGCAATGGCACTATTTCGGCTCACTGCAACCTCCACCTCCCGGTTCAAGCGATTCTCCTGCCTCAGCCTCCTGAGTAGCTGGGACTACAGGTGCACACCACCACACCCGGCTAATTTTTTGTATTTTTACAAAAATAAAAAATACAATATGTTGTCCAGACTGGTCTCGAACTCTTCGCCTCATGATCTGCCCACCTCGGCCTCCCAGAGTGCTGGGAGTCATAAGTCATGGCACCCAGCCCTTAAGAAATACTTTTTGAGCATTAACAGTATGCCAGGAACTATTCCAGGCGCATGGGATAGTGCAGGGAGGAAAACCAGCAGTACCTGTCTTTGTGGGAATCACACCCCAGTGCGGGAAGAGAGGAAGTAAAGAAATAAGCAAAACCCATGTGTAGTCGAATTTGCCAAATCAGACAGACTCTTCAATCGGAATCTTCTTGCAGACTGGGACTTTGTCTCTTTTTTTCACCTTGTACTCCCTAGTGTCTGGCATAGTACCTGGCACATAGTGGGTATAGTAGGTATTCATTCAGTAAATAGTTATCATATGAATGAATGAATTTCATGTGACCCTTCTATAGCATTTGACGCCACTGACCTCTCCCTTCCCTTGATGTTGTGACACTGCTCTCACCTGGCCCTCCCTATCGGTCTAATCACTCACTCTTAGCCCCCCATCCTTCCTGGCCTTGTGGTGACTTCACCCTGGCCGGGATGATTCTTGAGCCTCATCCGGACAAGCTCCCCAATTCTCAGCACTCCAGTCACCCTCTTTTTGCTGATGACTCCCATATAGACATCTGCCTGGTGTCAGCTTCCTATCAGCACTTGGGCAGCTTTACAGTGGCCCCAAACAGGCTCCTCTTCCTGGATCCCTGTCTTGGTAAATGGCATCAGCTGCCAGCAGCCAGCCAGTCACCAGCACAATCTGACTCCTTTCCTTTACCTGCCACACACACCAATCCTGTAGTTCCTGTCATCTTAGCAGCTCTCTTCTCTCCTTCCTGCTGCAGTGTCTGCGCTGTGGCCCTCTGCTCTGCCTGGAGTTCTTGTTAACTGTCCATCTGCCTCCAGGCTGGTACCTCTCAGGCTCTCTCTGCATCACTGCTAGGGTGATTTTTTCTTTTTGAGACAGAGTCTCGCTCTGTCGTCCAGGCTGGAGTGCAGTGGTGCAGTCTTGGCTCACTGCAACCTCAGCATCCTGGATTCAAGCAATTCTCTTGCCTCAGCCTCCTGAGTAGCTGGGATTACAGGGGCATGCCACTACGCCCAGCTAATTTTTATATTTTTAGTAGAGATAGGGTTTCACATGTTAGGCTGGTCTCGATCTCCTGACCTCATGATCCGTCCGCTTTTGCCTCCCAAAGTGCTGGGATTACAGGCATGAGCCACCGTGCCTGGCTGGGTGATTTTCTAAACTACTCCTCTGGCCATGTTACTTTCTTGGATAAATAGAGTGAAACTTGAGTAAGTTAAGTGAAAGTATGAATGACAGGGGCGCCTGTGGGAAAGGCGTCCTCAGCACACCTCCCTGGCCTCCCCCTCACACACTAAGCTGTATGTTTCTAGGAAATCACCTCTTATTATCCAAAATGTGCCATCCTAATTCAATTAGGCCTTGTGCAATCGCTCAGGCTGCCACTCTGCCAGTGACCCACTCTGGTCAGGTCTCAAGTTGAGGGTTACCTCTTCTGTGGCAGGGCTTGACAGCCTGCCACTCCCTGCCACCACTGTCATCCCCCACTCCCAGCAGAATTGACTATCTCCCTTGAGCCTCTCCTGTTCTTCACACCAGATGTCTACTGCACTTGTCTCCTGTCTCCTCCTTGATTGGATTGTGAGCTCCTTTGGTGCAGTAACTGTGTCTACTTAATTGTTAGGTGTCCAAAGGCTACCAGGATCTGATACGTGGTAGATTTCTAATAATGTTTGTTATGTGAAAAAAAAATTAATAATTGAAAAGCTGAGTAAGTAAAAGTACTATTACCATTAAGAACTAGGAGTTGAGTCTGAAATCCCAGTTCCACTTTGTATGAGTCATGTGCCCTTGGACAAGTTACTTAACTCCTCTAAGCATCAGTTTTCCTCATCTATAATAAGGGAATAACAGTATGGACTGTTGTGAGGATTAAATTGCACTGTGCCTTCCTCTTAATAAATGTGTAGTGTTGTAAAAGGGAAATTGTGAAATTTGAATTTAATGTTTTAAAAAAATGGAAGTCATTTTTCAGAGCCCAAGATGAAAATGTCAGAGTACTCTATGGTAGGCATGAAATGAAATATAACATGGGTGAGAAGATCACAAAGGGCAGTTTGAAAACTCTGTTTTAGTGACTTTCTCTTAACACCAGCTATAAAGGAGCCACAGATTCATACATTGAAAAAGTGATGATATCTTCAAATGCTGAAGATGCTTTTCTGATCAAAATGCTGCTGAGACAGACAAGGCGTCCAGAAATTGGAGACAAATTCAGCAGTCGTCATGGGCAAAAAGGTAAATTGTATCATTTCTCAACTTGATTATAAAACAATATATGAATGATTTGTTAACCACTTACATAAAATTACCCCATTTATAAAATTTACTTTGGAAAAGTATTACGTTGTTATAAAAATTCTTATTTCTTAGATTAACCTGTTTATATTTTAATGGCATTTAAAAATATATGGTACACTTGCTCCTCTGTGCTGTCTATTTCATTCTCCTGCAGTTGCTATGCCCAGAATTATAATTATAACTACATTCTAGGTGATGCACCTGTTGAGATACATGTAGCTGTTCAAAAAATAAATAGTAGTGCCTTTTTTTTTTCTGAAAGGTACATCTTTAAACTACTATATGTTCTGTTGGGTCATAGTATCATAAGATGTCAGCACTAGAAGACACCTCAGAGTTATCCGTCCCCTTGTTTACAGATGAGGAAGTTTAGACCCCGCATTTTCAGTGGCCAGTCAAGGATACGCAGCTACTTGGTTGTTGAACTGGTGTTAGAACCTGGGTCTCCTGACCCCAAGGTGGTGTTTTGTGTGTCTCCCACATCTAATTCCATTGGCAAGCCTCACTCATTCCTTTGATGGTTACTGCACAGTTTTCATCTATTTGTAGTTTTCTTTATTTTCAAGAAACACAGCACTGTATCACTGTTAATTAACTCATTTATCAGTAAGGTCTTGTTTAGTCAGTATACACAGTGTTTAAAGTGGAAAGTTTGTCCTGGGGTTTGAATTTTAGCTCTGCCTGTCGCTTAGCTTTAAGAACGACAGCAGCTAACACTTTTGTAGCACTAACTGTGTGCCTGGCTGTGTTCTCGGCACTTGACAGGTGCCAACTCATTTGATTCTCACACAATTCTGGGAGGGAGGTAGCATCATTATCCATATTTTATAGATGAGGAAATAGAGGCATAGAGAGATTAATAGCTTGCTCAAGGTCACACAGTTGATGGGAGAACTGGCATTTGAACCTTGGCAGCTTGGCTCCAGAGACCTAGCTCTTAATTACTAGGCCACATTGACTGTTAAGCAGTTAGCAATGTGCCTGGCACATAGTAAGTGCTCAAGAAGACCGTCATTCTTTTGCTATATACTTAAAATACATCACTTCTACTTTTCTACCTTGACTCTCACATTTGCTTATAAATTACTAGTGCGATATCTTCTTATTTTTAATTGGTTTGGAGATAACTGCACATTGTGTTTCTGCTGATTTTAAGTTTCTTTGCCAAGCAAGTATATCCATGTTACAGTTCTCTTGGTCAAGTATACCCAGCCTTAGTTATCATTCTGCCAGTGAAACTATGTCAGACTAAGATACTCGTTCATCAAAATCATTTTTAGTTCTGTTGACAGAGGCAAGATTATTTTAGCCTGTCAATATTTTTAAGAAATAATTGGTTCCATCTGTTAATGTGAATTTGAGACACCTGTAATTCATATAGTTCCCTGAGATACTAACTCTTAATGCCCTTTGAGTGTTTTTTAAAGTATCTTGAGTTTCTAACGTTTTATATGGCTTGCCAGTAAAAAATCAAATTCTGTATATTGAAACTATTTCCCCTTTTCTCTTGGTCTTGACAGTTGCTGAGTCAATTATGGGGTAACCTTAACCTCATTTGCTAGGTCATTGTGGGGTAACCTTAACCTGATTTGTAGTCTGTATCTTACTTGGCCTCCTACTTGGACAAAAGCAAAGTTGATACTCTTCTTGTAAAATATTGACACTGGAAGCTTCACAAGAATGCACACCATAAGAGAATATCCCTTCTGAATCACTTTACAAGACTAAGATACCCCAAATCTTTATGTCTTTATCCCATCAGGGTATTATGCAAAGAGTTGCAGACTAGCAGATATTTCAGTGGCTATGCAATGCATTCTAACTCCACTAAACTTTTTTTTTTTTCAAGTTCTGGATTACATGTGCAGAACGTGCAGTTTTGTTACATAGGTATACACGTGTCATGGTAGTTTGCTGCACCCGTCAACCCATCACCTACATTAGGTATTTCTCCTAATGTTATCCCTCCCCTAGCCTCCCACCCCCAGCAGGCCCCAGTGTGTGATGTTCCCCTCCCTGTGTCCAAGTGTTCTCATTGTTCAACTCCCACCTATGAGTGAGAACATGCGGTGTTTGGTTTTCTGATCTTGTGATAGTTTGCTGAGAATGATGGTTTCCAGTTTCATCCACGTCCTTGCAAAGGACACGAACTCGTCCATTTTTATGGCTGCATAGTATTCCATGGTGGATATGTGCCACATTTTCTTTATCCAGTCTATTACTGATGGACATTTGGGTTGGTTCCAAGTTGCTATTGTGAATAGTGCTGCAATAAACATACATGTGCATGTGTCTTTATGGTAGAATGATGTATAATCCTTTGGGTATATGCCCAGTAATGGGATGGCTGGGTCAAATGGTATTTCTAGTTCTAGATACTTGAGGAATTGCCACACTATCTTCCACAATGGCTGAACTAATTTACACTCCCACCAACAGTGTACAAGTGTTCCTATTTTTCCACAACCACTCCAGCATCTGTTGTTTCCTGACTTTTTAATGATTGCCATTCTAACTGGCATGAGATGGTATCTCATTGTGGTTTTGATTTGCATTTCACTAATGACCAGTGATGATGAACATTTTTTCATGTGTCTGTAGGCTGCATAAATGTCTTCTTTTGAAAAGTGTCTGTTCATATCCTTTGCCCATTTTTTGATAGAGGTTGTTTGCTTTTTTCTTGTAAATTTGTTTAAGTCCTTTGTAGATTCTGGATATTAGCCCTTTGTCAGATGGATAGATTGCAAATATTTTCTCCCATTCTGTAGTTTGCCTGTTCACTCTGATGATAGTTTCTTTTGTTGTGCAGAAGCTCTTTAGTTTAATTAGGTCCCATTTGTCAATTTTGGCTTTTGTTGCCATTGCTTTTGGTGTTTTAGACGTGAAATCTTTGCCTGTGCCTATGTCCTGAATGGTATTGCCCAGGTTTTCTTCTAGGATTTTTATGGTCCTAGGTCTTATGTTTAGGTCTATGATCCATCTTGAATTGATTTTTGTATAAGGTTTAAGGAAGGGGTCCAGTTTCAGTTTTCTGCCTATAGCTAGCCAGTTTTCCCAACACCGTTTATTAAATAGGAACTCTTTTCCCCATTGCTTGTATGTGTCAGGTTTGTCAAAGATCAGATGGTGGTAGATGTGTGGTGTTATTTCTGAGGCCTCCATTCTGTTCCATTGGTCTAAATCTCTGTTTTGGTACCAGTACCATGCTGTTTTGGTTACTGTAGCCTTGTAGTATAGTTTGAAGTCAGGTAGCATGATGCCTCCAGCTTTGTTCTTCTTACCTAGGATTGTCTTGGCAATGCGGGCTCTTTTTTGGTTCCATATGAACTTTAAAGTAGTTTTTTCCAGTTCTGTGAAGAAAGTCATTGATAGCTTGAGGCGGCAGGGAGGGGTAGTATTGAATCTATAAATTACTTTGGGCAGTAAGACCATTTTCCTGATATTTATTCTTCCTGTCCATGAGCATGAAATGTCTTTCCATTTGTTTGTGTCCTCTCTTATTTCCTTGAGCAGTGGTTTATAGTTCTCCTTGAAGAGGTCTTTCACATCCCTTGGAAGTTATATTCTTAGGTATTTTATTCTCTTAGTAGCAATTGTGAATGGGAGTTCACTCATGATTTGGCTCTCTGTCTGTCATTGGTGTATAGAAATGCTTGTGATTTTTGCACAGTGATTTTGTATCCTGAGACTTTGCTGAAGGTGCTTATCAGCTTAAGGAGATTTTGGGCTGAGATGGGGTTTTCTAAATATAAAGTCATGTCATCCGCAAACAAAGAAAATTTGACTTCCTCTCTTCCTATCTGAATATACTTTGTTGCTTTCTCTTGCCTGATTGCCCTGGGCAGAACTTCCAATACTATGTTGAATAGTAGTGGTGAGAGAGGGCATCCTTGTGCCAGTTTTCAAAGGGAATGCTTCCAGTTTTTGGCCATTCAGTCTGATATTGGCTGTGGGTTTGTCATAAATAGCTCTTATTATTTTGTGATATGTTCCATCAATACCTGGTTTATTGAGAGTTTTTAGCATGAAACGCTGCTGAATTTTGTCAAAGGCCTTTTCTGCATCTATTGAGATAATCATGTGGTTTTTGTCGTTGGATCTGTTTATGTGATGGCTTACGTTTATTGATTTGCGTATGTTGAACCAGCCTTGCATCCGAGGGGTGAAGCCAGCTTGATCGTGGTGGACAAGCTTTTTGATGTGCTGCTGGATTCGGTTTGCCAATATTTCGTTGAGGATTTTCGCATCAAGGTTCATCGGGGATATTGGCCTAAAATTCTCTTTTTTTGTTGTGTCTCTGCCAGGCTTTGGTATCAGGATGATGCTGGCCTCATAAAATGAGTGAGGGAGGATTCCCTGTTTTTCTATTGATTGGAATAGTTTCAGAAGGGATGGTACCAGCTCCTCTTTGTAACTCTGGTAGAATTTGTCTGTGAATCTATCTGGTCCTGGACTTTTTTTGGTTGGTAGGCTATTAATTATTCCCTCAATTTCAGAACCTGTTATTGGTCTATTCAGAGATTCAGCTTCTTCCTGGTTTAGTCTTGGGAGGGTGTATGTGTCCAGGAATTTATCCATTTCTTCTAGATTTTCTAGTTTATTTGCTTAGAGGTGTTTATAGTATTCTCTGATGGTAGTTTATATTTCTGTGGGATGGGTGATGATATCCCCTTTATCATTTTTTATTGAATGTATTTGATTCTTCTCTCTTTTCTTCTTATTAGTCTTGCTAGCAATCTATCTATTTTGTTGATCTTTTCAAAATACCAGCTCCTGGATTCACTGATTTTTTTTGAAGGCTTTTTTGTGTCTCTCTCCTTCAGTTCTGTTCTGATCTTAGTTATTTCTTGCCTTCTGCTAGCTTTTGAATTTGTTTGCTCTCGCTTCTCTAGTTCTTTTAATTGTGATGTTAGGGTGTCAATTTTAGATCTCTCCTG